ACATATTTACAGAGCACCTTCGGGGTATGATTTCGTTGCTCTTCACCAACTAATCATCTCAGTCGTTTATACCAACATGAGACTTTATTTCATTATCAGTTCATCTGGGACTTAACCGACGAAAGGTTTGCATCGATACTGTAAAGCTTGGCATACAAATAATATCCTGGTTGATATCTCTCACCGGGAAGCTTGTATTCCTGTTGCTTAAAAAGGATTCGTTCACCAAGGAAAAGAATAATTCCTTACGCTCTAAACTGTGGCTGTTCCACCACCGCGGAGATATGTCCAGAAATGCATGCATCAAAGAAAATGGCGAAAATTCGTCAAAATCGTCACATCCGCCAGGCTGATTTTGCTTTGACGAATTCGACTAGAATTCGTCAAAATAGTCAATTCCGCCATGCTGATTTCGCTTTGACGAATTTGATTAAAATCGTGGAAAAGTCTAGAAAAGATACTCTGATCTGCGAGTAATAAACTATCCTATTTGTAAAAACCAATCCCCCTAGCCCCAGGCCGCGCAGCCATCTATTTAGCTTTGAATTTTCGCGCGGATCTTGCAAATAAGAGAAGTGTGAACTCGCGTCAAGGTATTCGCAAGTACGTTTTTCAGCCGTATTTAAAAAATTGTTTGGTAAATTGCTCTTTCGTCGAGTTTCCTGTGTTCCTTGTGTTATTAGTATTGCCTTTAAACATATTTCTTGTTATTTGTATTTCCTATGTTACTTCCGATCTTGTAATTAGTCGTTCGGATCTTGATGTACTATGTTCGTAATACTTTATTTAGAAACCACCGGTAATGGCGTGGAAATAAACTCCTTTTAAATTTATCGCCGGTGCGTTGGTTATACTATTGATCTAAAAAAGTGATCATCGGTGAAGAAAAAATAACAACGACAAGAACAGAAAAAAGTGCTCCAGTCAGTTAAGTCGTTTCGTACCCAGCTCGGTCGTTTCATACCCAAACTAATAAAGTATGTTTTTCATGTTGACAACTGGAGAAAAAATATTAGACATACACGAGTATAAAAAATAAATGTACGAATCGATCAGCGGTTTGTGTACGAACCGACTTAAATTTGGGTTCGAATCGACTGAGTTTGGGTACGAGACCAATGGGCAGGAAACAACCGTGAGCACGAAGCGACCGGATACAAATATAATTAGTCTGAGAGCCGGACTTCAGCTTGGTGTTGAGAGAAATACTAACACGGAAAGGACAAGTGCAATTCACCAGAAACGAAAGGAGACCCGTGATAAACTGGTGGAGATGGTTGATCTCATGGCCGTTCTAGGCTTGCTACCTGTCCCACTTTGCTCACACTTTCATTCGTTTATTTATTTGTTTGCTTTGTTTTTTATTTCGGCGTTTATAACTAATTTAAAAGGAGAAAACGCTTATCATTTTTTCATGTTTATCCATTTTTGCTATTCGTGGACGTCATACAAAAATAAATGAAAGAAACCAGCACGTCTAATAAGATTGTAAGCCTGTTTAGTTCCATGACGTTGACCAACATTACATACGTCACGGCCCACGTATCACTCAGCCGGCTAAAGATGATTTACCATAAGTTGCTCAATTTGTTGGTTGTCAGCACACACTTGGATATGTTGGTTTTTTTTTGCAGGGAACACCTCATCGATTATCCAACACTATGATAGTCTCAGCAGGTGATCCAGAGAGTTCAACGAAGATGAAGCGATAGTCGAAGCCCCCTCGTGATCCCTGGAACCGAAAAAGATGAAAATGAACACTTCTATCCGTTCTCGTGCAAACTTAAACTGTGCCAGGATCTCAGTCAGCAGAAACAAGCCAGAAAGCAAGCGCGCGAAAAATGTCGAGGATCACGCAAAGAAGAAGTAGCCTTTTCCCTGACAAACATAACCGCTGTTTGTCGCTTGCCACTCTTTCGCATCTCTCCGCTAACTGAGTGCCCAGTGGAACAAGCCAGTGCTAACTACATGTTGAGTGCATCTTACAAGCTCAGGTTACAAGGGAAGGGGTCAGACGATGAGTTGATGCGTGTCACTGATTCTGATGGTCAGAATCAGTCATTTAAAACTGCTATTATTGCTTGAGCGCTCTCTACTTGAGGATTGTAAACCCAACACCAAAAGTTAGAACATTGGCCAATCCGGTTAACATTACTCTGGTTTCATGAGCATCAAACGACTTGGATTACGGCAAATAAACCTAAAAAAGGATGTTAGTTCTTCGCCGCAGGTAACCTCTTGGAAATGTATTACTTTTCCCTGGAAGTTTTCTATCACTCACTTACACCCCTGGATGGAGAGAGGTATCGGGAGAGGAAACACTATTCCTCAAGAACACCACAAAATAACACACTAGGGTTTAAACCCAGACCTATGATATGGAGTCCGCCACAGCACCTGCCAGGACACTGTGACTCCTTGACCAATCACAGAGTATGACCTAACAGAAGCAAGAGTTCTGCAATTCTGCTTTCAACACTCAGCCACCTGCTTCTCAAAACTAGAAATTCAAGTTACCTCTTTCACATCAACATGAACAGTTCCTTTCCGTTTGGGTCCCGACACATAAAACTTGACTCTCATGTAGTTCTCACCATCCACTAAATATTCTTGGTAGCTGTAAGAATAAAAAAAACTCAATGTGAAAGTATAAAAAGAGTAAAACTGACTGACTCACAAAACTGCCAGAGTATTCCCCTGTGCCTGCAGCTTACAGAAACTCGAAGTATTGCAACTAGCCATGGATGGGTAGATGAATATGAGTCCATCCCAAATTACCCATTGCAAGTAATTTTTAAGGTTTTCCAGACCGTTTACAAACATCTCTTAATACTCCTTAGTGGATAGAGGAAGTAGGACCATAAAGTGCCGTGCCCTTGAACTTGAAAAAATTACCCCTGCCACAGCTTAAACTTAGAAGTTTTGAAACAGAATCCAGTGTGCTAATGCCAAGGCCACTGTACAGTATTTCCTACTGTTACGAAGGAAAATCAGTCAACAAACCCAAAATCAGAGTGAAAGAGAGGTATAAGAGTTCAAGAAAGAACCATGTTTTAGTCTTGACCAGTTACTACTTACGTGAACATGCACACAATACATGGGCAAGGTGGATAAAAGCTACCAGTGAGTGGTCACTGGTCACCTGATGCTCCAGCAAATGCACATTGCTGCTTATGCAAATACTATCTTCCTGAAAAACCACACTGGAAATATTTTTGTGAATCTCCTGCTGATTCAAATTCCATTTCAAAATTTTGTATTTTCATCATTCTGAGCTCCAAGTATCTGACAGAATACAATAAGTACCTAACATGTCTTCTTCTTCCTCTTGAACTTGTTTCTCCATGTCCCATTATTGGTTCTCCAATTGCTTCAATTACCTGTATTGAGAGGCCATAAGATCAGTAATTATCTGAAAATTAGGACCCATGAACCTACAGAACTAAAAAAGCTAGCCAACAGTTATAAGTTGTCTGGAGTCCTGATTTAATAGTGGGTTGACAGGAATGACCACCAATTTACCTGAACTCCTGAATGGAGGAAAATAACTAGTATTTTTTTGAGGGGTTATGCCCTAAACGTTAAACCCTCTTAGAATAACATGGTGACATAACAATTGTTCTAACTGAGAAATGTAACAAAGATTTTAAGATGCTGATAAAGGGTCTATGCTTCTTAGTGATGGTTTTTAAGTTATGTACAGTTCACTCAAGCCAAGTTTTTCATTCCTCACCTCTGCACTTGCTTTGACCTTTTTAAGAGCTTTAGCATACACTTTATTTGCACTGAAGCCAAAAAACAACTCACTCACCACGAACCAAATTAAAATACCTGAAAAAAGAATATGAACTGTGTTTCAGCTCCCCACAGCACAAACCCAACTTTTTAACACTTTCCACCCTAACATCAGTATGCATATCCTCTTTAACATTCTCTAAACATTTCCTAAGGTGCTGAAAAGGAGAATTTGTTGAACAATCTAGAGCTTTTTTTCACACGTGATCAGTTCCTTTATTCTCCTGACCTTAATATTTGATTCAGGGGTGATATGGTAAGGAGAAATTAGATGCCAGTCACTCTTAGGGGTTAAAAGGTTAAAAGGACAATAACTAAGGATGAAGGTATTTTTCATAAGTCCCCCCCCCCTTTCACCCCCTCCTGTATTCTGACCACTTGCTTGGAGGAATATTGTTGTCAATTAGGATTCAGTCATAAAGCTTGCATCTTAACCTTGAAGACCAGCTAATGTATTCTACTGAATACAAATTTAGAACGGGAAAAGTTCTAGCAAGTTTGATAAGATAGGAAGAGCATAAGCAAAAGGTACAATCCTCAAGTCTAGATGCTCAACTATTAATTCCACAGCAACAGCTTTACCCTTTATATTTCCCTTAGGTCTGGATAAACTACTGAGTAAAAGTGATAATCAGATTATACTGACAGCTACCTGTGATGGCAAATCCAATGAGAATAATACCAAAGTAGCTGACATCTTTTCCAGCCTGTACAACTGGAGCAAAAGAGAAGAAAGAACATTAAATAAATAATAAATAAAGTAAATCTAATTTTACTATCACACACAGGAACACAAGGGAATGTAGAATGAATGACAGAAGAGAGTGCAGTCTCTTATTAGAGACATTTTAGCTTACTAATTTTTCAAAAAAAAATTTCACTAGTAAGAGTGTCTACAGTTACATTGTATGTTTATTGTTGCATAATTGTAATTTTCAAAATAGACTTGGAAAAGCTTCTGACTGTTCAAAAGATGCCAACTTCTTGATATCTGAGATCAGGGGGTATTTAATTTTGATCCCCTTATCCTCACCTAAATTTTTTTTTAGACTGCCTAAGTCTTCTGGAGTAACTGGTGTAAAAGTGAACTATTTTTCAGGAAAGGATGATCAAATTTACTTCCCTTTGGGAGATTTTATGACCTAGACAGGAGATTGAGAGATTTCTCTTGTATTTAGAGACCCTTGGATTGTCCCTAGTAGTGGTTAAACTTTTTAACAGAGAAGTATGGATTTCTATAACTGTTATTTTTATCCTGACTACCGAGGCAATACTACAGAATTATGTTATGACGATATGATATTGAGGGCCTCTAGGCCAAGGTACTCCGCCAAAAGCCAAAATCCAGCCTCAAAAATGGAATTAATGGATTCCTTTGAAATCCTTTTTCTTAAATAAAGATTATTACCTTGATCGCTCCTTTTAGACGAGGGGGTTGGGAAAGAGGTGCGGAATGGAGAGAATTATATTTTAAGGCAACAACATTTTGACGTTGATTAAAATTTTGAGCTAACCTTTAGCACCAACTGTCAGCTGTGTTTGCGGCTGCTCTTGTGATTCGACTAACTCTTGAAAAACGGAACTTTCTTTCTTATCTTGCGATGATTTCGCGGAGAAGAATCTAAGTCGAGGTCTTGGAAATGCACTAGAGCACGTGAACATGTCTTCTCGTCCGACTCCATATTTGATGAGATCCTGCTTCCGAAAGACCAGAGGAGCAGAAGAGCTCTGTCTTAAGATGATAACTCTTAAGGGAATACCTTTTGGTAAAATGGTGCATACGTTTTTCCATGGAAACATCTTCGAAGCTCAACTTTCAAAAATTCTCCAATATAGACGCCATATTGATTTCTGATTACAATGTATCATGGGAGGCCTCGTCCCAGACTCCTGCAGAGCAAAAACTCAGGACTAACAAATTTGATTTTTTAAAGAACTTGAATGTAAATTGCTGTTTCTGGTGTTTTGTTTGAACGTGGCTTGCATTCATAGAAAAAATTTTAGCTCTCATAAGAGTAAGAATTATTTTGCAATCTACCTCAACACCTGTTAATTCCCAAATTACTGAAATTACTTGCCTTCTCTAAATTTTGATAATTTCACGTTGTTGTTTTGTAGAGGACAGCCAAGGAATGTACAAAGTTTTAAAACACACGTGCTGAGCTAT